TTAGCATTATCAGTTTCCCAGTAACTGACCTTTTCCCTCTGTGCCTCACTTCTCTTCATCTGTCATGATTCATTTTGTAACATTGATTTCCTTTTACACTAACAGTTTCTGTGTGAGAGACTTCAAAATCCCAATCAGCCCTTACAGTTGCTCACACAGTGTTGAGAAACTACTAGCTGTATTTAAAGAAAAAATGGGAAATTTATTTCTTATTGGGCCCTCTTGAGAGTGTAATAAAATTTAAAATGTCACTTGCTACTGGTACCCATTTATTTTGAAATACTATACCTAATTTTTAAAATTATGCAATCAATATTTTTGCCAATATAGAAGTTGCCATTGCCATTTTTTAATTATTTTATTAACTGTGTCTATAAAATCATGGTCTGACTGTTACAGGATACAAGTAATTGAAAAGCATGCTGGGATGTGCACCCATGTATCCACATTACAGCTTCAGCTCTCCTGTGCTATGCACAGCAACCTGGCTAGGAAAATTACAGTATCTCTCTTCCTCCTGTTCGAAAGCTACACTTCAGATCCTTTATCTGTAGTTTTTAGTGCAAGTATAGTCATGTAAATCATTCCTATTGAAGTTTTTATGGCTATGTAGATGGGCCATTTGTGTACTTAAAATGAAAGAGAATTTGTTCCCTAAGACAATGGCACTTGGATGGTGAATGGTTGTTCACCTGATAAGTGTGATGTGCACCCGTGGCTTGTTTTCTCAATAATCAGCTTTTCCCATCAGTAAGACTTTTCTAAATAAAATACAGCCCATCTCTGCTAAGTCCGAATTAGATACTTTTTTTTTGTCTTGTTACCTATAAAATTCTATAAAATGTTTTGCAGTAAAAATGAATACCTACTGTTCTTAATTCTTCTGTTCTGCCATAATGAGAAATAAGTAATCTTAAAAATTATTGTAAAGTGAGTCCTAAGATAGTAGGACTTGGTGTTTTTCATAAAATCTGCATGTTAATAGATCAAAAGTCTTTCACTATCCCAGTGTGACTGACATTTTCAATAGAACACATGTGGAGGAAAATAAGACACAATTACTAGGAAATTAACAGCTGAAAATGGAATATTGATTTGAACTGCAGTCAAACATGGTTTGGTTTTCTTTCATCTAATTTCGAGTCATTTTTTGTGGTAGACTTCTGATCCTTTTCCTATATACATATGTTTTCAAATCCTGACTGCCTTAAGGTCTTAAGGCAGTCACTTAAGGCACCGGGTTTTTGCCTTAAGGTCTACCACGATCTAGTTATTCGCCAGTTTACGACCAGCACGTCAGGATATCTTGTTCATTCAAAACTACTCATCTCCAGATATTCACTTAAGATTGGCATGTTAAATGGATAAGCATAAGGATATTGCACAGGAATTGTTTTAATTTTTAAAAGACTAGTTTAGAGGAGTTGCCTGAGTGCACATGTAGGTGTTTCATTTTGATACTTAGAGCATCCAAAATTTATTTAAAGGCATATACGCTTTTACAGTCAATAATTGCTTTTAAACCTATTTAACTTATCAGATGTCAGGTCTGGATATGTTAAAGCAGTATTTGATTGCACAGGATAGGCAGGTGCCCTGCCTTTTGTCTGCTTTGTCAGAATATGCCGGAGAGGTGCTCCCTGCTGTGCTACACAGTGGCTACAGAGCTCCCTGAAAAGAGCTCAGGTGTACTCCAGACTGGTTTTTCTACAGTTATTCTGCTAAGTTTAAGTCATGTGATGAAACAGTATTTAGTAAGACTACTTTGGCCATAATTGTTGCTCAGTTTTTCCTTTTCTTTAAGGAGAGTTTGAAATCCAGTGGAGTCAGTGTGGAATTGCCCTGGAACGCTTAGAGCACTTAGACTAAATCTCTTAATTACTCAGATTCCTGTTGTAATCCTAACAGCTACCGCACTGTAGTCCTTTGTTTTTCAAGATGAAACTATGACAAGTAACAAAACTGATCTTGAAAATGGAAAGCGTGAATGAAGATTTTTGTTGGAATAAAGGAGTACAGAACAAAGGGTACTTCTGGTATTTGAGAGATGTAATCCTGGGCTTGGCCTAAAACCACATAGGTTTTGGAGCATGTATTCATGTATTGTTACTAAGTTTTCTCTGTATAAATTGTGACTAAATAAAAATTGGTTTACAAATCTCTGCATCAGTACTGTAGCTTACTTAGGATCCCCAAACTTATCTCAGGGCTTTCTTGGTGCTACATTGGTGCTATCTTGTAAACTATTCTTTGTAATAACATAAAACTTCAGTAATAGCAAGATTTAAATTATTCTTTTAGCCAAATGTCACTAGACCTGCTTTTTACTGCCTTCTATGGATTAGTATTCCTCTGAAATAATTGTTTCTTGGCTGTCACATTTCATCATGTACAAAGTGAATGTTCATCTCTAAGATTTGTAATTCCAAAACTTTCCTTCAATATATCTTTTTTTTAAAGAAATTAATTTAAATACAGTATTGTGTTTCATCTGGTTTAAATTTTACATCTACATAGAAGAAGTTTACTCAAAGAAAAGGAATTACAGGCATTTTTCTATGCATTTCATTCCACCACTTGTTTTTTGATGGAGAAAGTTGAGGGTTATTTCACTCAAGTGAAAGAAAAAAGATCTAGTTAGAAAAGAATATGAAAAATGTTTGATAATGTTATCTGGCTGCTGTCTATAATATAGAATACAAGTTGTTTTCAATTATCATAGGTTATTTATATGAACTATTTGTAGATATACATGAAAGTACCCTTGGACTTCTGGAATTTGATATGACAGTCTCCTGCAGCATGGTGTTTGTTTGACTTTATTGTTTGTGACTTATCTTTTTCTTTCAGCACAAGAGCTGTCAAAGTATAACAAGTGTGAGGGGTTTTTTGTTGGGTTTTTTTTGGAGTTTTGTGTGTGTATTTGTTTTTAAAGAAATCATGTTAGGATCCTTTACTTTACTTTTGTAAGTTTGAACTTACAGCCTTCTTTTTATCCCATACTTACTTCTTTCTAAACACTGTGCATGTTAAACTGCCTGTTTTTCTTCTTCTCCATTATTCCCTTTTAGCAAGACCTATATTTCATCAGCATATCCTTGTCCCACTTCCTTACCATGTGCTTCTTCAAATTGAAGCTCATTTAGGGTAATACTGTGCATCTTGGAAGCACAGCTCCTTATCTGTGCTGACAGGCAAACAAAGGATCCCTTAATATTTTTCACATATGTGGAAACTACACCTATAATCACACTGAAGATGAAAATAAAGTCATTAAATGGATATTACATGTCATTATTTTATCTTATCACGTCAGCCCTCAGCGATTTACCAGGCTTAGGATATTTGGGACCAAAATGGGCCCAATTGATGAGCAGTGTACTTGTTTATTTTAGAATTTCCGACTGCCTTGTAGGTGACAAAATAAAATCTAATTATTTTGATACTTTATTAAGTGGTCAGTCAGCCATTATATAATTACTTCTGAAAAAAAAGAAAACCAAAACAAAGCAATCTGAAAATTATGGCTATCAGAAAGGTAAAGCCTGTTGATATATTTTGTGAGAACAACAATTGCAATGTAAGTCTTGAGGAAAGAGAAACAGATGAAATAGTACAGTGAGACTATAGTGAATGTTGTTTTTCCTACTGTGTACAATTATATATAATTAGATCTGTCCTTTTTTCATTATGCTGTCTCAAAATTATTTCTACCTATCTAGATACTGAATGAACTTGTAAATAAGATAGCAAGATCGACACAGTCTGAAGAAATAATTAGTAACAATTTAACAGAAATTGTTCTGTTCAGGCTAAATCAATAGTAATGGAGATGAATAAATGGGTGGAAACCTTAAGTAATTACAAATCCTTTAAATTATTCTTTAATTACAAAACAGGAGAAAAGAACATATTTAATTACTCTTAGATATTCATTACAAGAGAAGTTTCTGAATTCAGTCTTTATTCTTTCTTCCCTAGAATACACTCATTTAGGCAGCTGGTATTCTGTTTCCTGTACCTTGTTGAACTTCTCATCCAACTTGGTTAGCTAGCCTAGATATTCAAACCCAGGTATTCAATTTTTTCCCCACAGGATGAGTTATAAACATTGCTGTGAAGAAGACTTCTTCTTGTTCTGTTAACTAACTTCTCCACTTTGGTTTCACACTGCTTATTTTTGGCACAATTATTATTTTTTCATCCCTCTAAAAAGGAAATTCTTCTTGTGTTCTGTATAGTTGAGAGGAACTTCTGAGAAATACTGAATTCACCTTACTTAAATGAAAATGTAAGAGTAGATTTAGATGGGGCGTGTAACTAAAAAAAAATAAACCTAATGGTCTGCTTTTTTATTCTTCTCTCCCATAGAAAGTTCTTCTTGGACATGTGAATATATTGACTATATTGTACTTTTGAACAGTTTTAAATTTTAGTTATAGAAGTATTTCCCTATGGACTTTTGATATATATTTATTATCTATAAAAACTCTGTTGCCTTCACAGTGCTTTTCTATATTTGTAACTGTGGTGTTGCAGAAGAGTTATGAGCTTTATGATGCATCATGAGGCAGAAGAAATCCTGAAAGGGAAAAGAGGTGTCAAGATTGACTCTAAAATGATTACAACTAAATTAGAATTAAGCAGAATGAATTGGGAAAGCAGGTACTCTATGAATCAGCATGGAAATGCAAAGGTCAGAGAATCTTAATCTAGAGAGTCCTGCTGAGACTTGTGTCCCACTCAAAATCTAACACTGCAATTTTGCTTGTCTGGACCTTGAGAAGCACAATTAGAAAGATTCTGCATAAAAGCATTTGCTAATTGACCTAAATGGTTTTTGGGTAGAAACTATTTCTGAAGAAGGCCATTCTCAATCAAAAGCCATGAAAGATTGCCTTCTTAGTTAGTGTTTTGGATTTATAGACCACTGAGAGATTGAGTCAATCTTTAAAATAAATGGATGACTTAGATTTGTTTAACTTGTCTCCCTTCTTTAGCTGGAAAGGCAACTAGCACTGCAGAACCTGATGAGAGACAGACAAACAGCCATGCAGATTGCTTGGACATGAGAATTTCTCAAATATTTCAGGACATTTTTTGGACACTTACTACTGTAGTTTTAACAACTGGATATGAAGTTCATTCCCTAACAGAAAAGATAAGTATATTACATTATATATTTCTATTTTGCTGCGTTTTGGTTTTGTATTACATGTAGTTATTTTCATCCAGTAGTTGCTCAGAGATTGATCAAATGACAAATGGACTCTGAATTCTGTCTGCTTTGAGTGTGTTCTGGTTATGTCTGTACTGCAGATTTATTTAAAAGCAGACACATGAGCTGACAATAAAATGACAATAAAATATCTGAAGTACAAAAAGTCCGGTACAAAATAACAGTTGTGTGTGGAAGAGGAGAGAGTATTTAAAAGCCATGCTATTTTCTTGTCTGTACTGAGATTTAATGAATTGTTAGTGAGTAGCACATTCTCCATGTGGATTTTTTTTTAATGCAGGGAACAAGTGGACATACTCAGAAGTCTGCTCACTTACATTTGAATCAACTTACCCAAGGGAAAAAGAAACCTGGCTAATAAAGCTATATTGCATAGGGAAGAACCTGCCGTACAGTACTCTTGGTTGATAATGCTTTCTTGGGCTGTAATACGTTTAGAGGGAATTAGGAAATATTTGTGGTTTTGTGTATGTAGTGAAGATTAAATGCACCTTGTGCATTATGGGTTCTCTGTAGCATTTGGAAATGAACATAGAATCTACATTGTTATGTGTTGCAAGTGGCTGGGTATATGGCACTGCACATGCATGCTAAACGAGTTAGATCATCCCTTATTTGTTAATATTTTCAAAAATCACTATTGCATTTTTAAAATACTCTTGGGTTGAGAAAGAAGGCAACCAGAAGACAAATGTTTCTGAGGAAAGAAAGACTTGCTCTTTGAGTAGAGATTTTTAGGATACACAAGTATACACAAGTCCTAGACAGTCAAGGTCAGCCTAGAGTAACAGTGCTGATGTGCTGAATATACTAAATAATTTTTTCATTTTCCTTGCACAGAGCAATAAAAAGGAAGAACCGAACAGTTTTACTGCCAATACTTCCCTTATGCTTTGTATTTTCCTATCATTATGATATGGGGTATGGGACACTGTTGCAAAGGATTAAAGGTATGTAAGTCTGTCCTGTTCTCACAGAGAACCAAGCTTCAGATAACCTGTTATGTTTTTTTTTTAATGACTGGGAGAAATCTTGTAATAGATATTTGATGGTTTCTTTGACAGAAATATTATGTCTCATTTCTTTTCCTGCTGTTGAAATCAGATATTTTGCTAGTCAAGAGTACTCGTTTCTTTTCAGTTAAGACTGTCATTTTCTCTTCTTGTTTCACACAGCTGATGTAAGAATTGGATATCTGAGAGAAGTGACAGATATAGTGATTTACTTCTGTATTCCACTCTCCTGCTGTTTTTTTGGGGAAAGGGTTAGGGATTACAATATAAAGGAACAGAGACATGAATCATGGCCTTACCCCTTCATGAACAAACACAGTCATCAGGTGATGATGATCTTACTGCAGTGTCCTGCTAAGACTGAAGAAAGGTGAGTCCTGGAAAGTGGGGTCTTGCCTCATAGTTGTCTCTTGTCTATGTGATTAAATTATATACATTGTGTTGAAGTTCATGGAGATTCATTTATGTTAACTCTGATTCCTAGTGAAGGAGACTGGCTCAGTGAGTGTTGACTGTAAGTGAAAACAGCATCAGACCATGGCATGTCACCTTTACAAATTGACTTAGTTAACTAAATCTAACTAATTGTCTTGTCTGCTACTGGCACAACCGTATTGAAACAAAATAAAAATCTGTTTCAGCACTTAGTCTTTAGCCTCCAGATCTAACACTTGGGTTTCCTTACTCCATATGCTTCATGGGAAATAGTGGTAGGTTAATTAGACAAAGTCTGCTGTAGTTCCTACTGCATGCAGGTGCAAATACATTTAGGTGATGCAGGATTGTATACCTGTGACCATTTCCCCAACAGCATTAAACTTCTCTGGATTTTATTATGAAGAGTCAGCTAAGCATAGGGAAGAAGGGGTAGTTCTTAGAAATAAAAGTGTTGAAAAGGAGATTAGTACACACAGAGCAGAATTAGCACTTGGAATTTAGAATTTATATGTAATGTGTTTACTGTGTACCATGTGGTCCATAGGTTGAAGAGGAGCAATGGTATCCTATTGCTTTCCAAATATGAAAAGTCATCTTCGTGACTTCAGATCCATTAGGAGAACTTCAGCAGTATGCAAGGCTTGTGAAAATGTTTCGCAGAAAAGAAACTGTGGAACCAAATAGAAAATAAAATAGAATATGCCAAACTAACTCTGTCTTTTCCAGATTTTTTTTCTAAAAGAAATGTGGTAGATCCATTATAAACTCGTGAAAGCATTTGATGGGGTATTACCTAAAGATTAAGTTAGCATGAAAGACATGGAAATTAGTAGAGAGGTAAGCATGGGAGTAAATAAATTATGTCAAATCTTGGGCTTGAAAAGGAAGGCTAGGCTTCAGCAGGGTTATTAACAATATTTCTCAAGATTTGGTCTGGATCTTCATTTGCTTTATATTTTAAATTATGAGTAGCTTATCCTAATCGAGTCTTTGGGTGACAAACTTGATTAAGTTCAGCAACAAAGAAGAAATAAGCTGTAGTGCAAGAAGAATTGATGTTCTGAAGAAATGAGACAACAAAATAGGATTCAATTTGATAATGTCAGCAAGAAACTGGGGATTAATAGGAATTTCTACCACCAGAGGTCATCAGCTGGAAATGGTAGAAAAAGGGAAAACTTGAATGCTGATGATGAGCAGAATGAGTATAATTCAAATAATGTGATGAAATTGAGTTAAGCAAAGTCTAGAAACATCAAGTGAGGTTTCCTAGTGTCACGGCATGGTTGAGTTGGAAGGAATCTCTGAAGGTTATCTGGCCCAAGCCCCCTACTCAGACAAGATCATCCATAGCCAATTGCCCAGGAAAATGTCCAAAAGGCTTTTGAATATATCCAGGGATGCATATTTCACAACCTTAGTACAAACAGAGTACAGATGAGAAGGTGCAGGAAAATAACTCCTGTGGAAATTTGTATGTAATTCAGATCACTTCTGGAAAGGGAATCTGTAATTTTACTGAAGAGCTGAAACTATTAGGGAATGACAAGCTGCCTTGCAAGAGGAAAAAAGTGATTAATTTGATTTAATTTTGTAAAAAGACACGAGAAATTTGGGTCTACAGATCCTACTTACAGGATAGGATAAAGGAAAGTAAGAGAAGGAAATTAAACTAATTACCAATATCAGCACTAGATTAAAAGGAAATGGAATAGCCTGGATGAATCTGGTCTGAAAATCAGGTTCAGGAGTTCAATTTTATTTTACGATTAAAATTACGTAGTTGAAGAGAATGTTTTATGACACAATTAACCTGCAGCCACAATGCTTATTCTCAATACCCAACTGATCCCCTTGTTCACTCCCATACCTTTGCAACCATTTCTCTGCTTGTCTATCTATCCTGTTGGTGCATGCCGTGCTTAATCTCTCTGGTGTAATAATGAATGTATACACCATTCCCTTTACTGTTCTTTCTTTAAATGGTCTCTTTCTTCCAGGGTACACCTATCATCAACCTCATAGCCAGTTCCTTCTCCTAAGATAATCTGCAGTTATTTCTGTGCTGCATGGTGAACCTTGTATCTGAACTAACTTGATCACATAACATCTGCATCTGCTGCCTTTCATCCTTTGACATCATTTTATACCCCTGAAAGGTTTCATTGTTTCTCTTTCATTAGGCATTTTGTTTCTGATCTTGCTTACAGCTATTTTTTCTTCTGTCTCTAGCCTACTTCACCAAAAATTATGTCATTATTTTAGTATTCTTCCACACTGAAATATTGGAAGGGTATTTTTCCTGCTCTATAGCTTGGGCTAATTAAAACCCAAACTGAAGACATAGAGGGAAATACCTGTTGTGAGTTCTGCTTGTGCTGTTGGAAGGTCCTAAATTTCCAGGGCTGTGTATGAGGACCTAATCTTTTGGGTATGTCAGAGTTACAGAACAGCTATCAAACTATCTTTTCTAAACCTCTGAGGACACCAAGAATCAACCTGCTGTCTGTGTTCTTGGCGTTGCTGTTTTGCTTTTCCTCCTAGTCCACGTACACATTGCTGGTGTTTTCCACACAAATTACTAGAGGAGGGGACGGATTTTATGGCCAGCCTCTAATTGCACAGAACATCTCCACTCAGCAATGGAGCTCTGGCTGCCTTTTCTGAGATTCTTGTGTCCTGAGCAGTCAGTGGGGCAATGTCCTCTAGTACATGTGAGGGACAGGCATAGAGATTTGTCTGTCTAGATCCCTGTCCCCAGGATCTCTCGCTATTTCATAATCAGATGCTATATGCAACTGACTGATGTTGTGGGAGTGGTAACCGGTGTTGGATATTACTGATGGTCCCAGGCACTGCAGTACTTAAAAAATTACATCTGGGAGATGTCAGCGCTCAGACCTGTTTTATAGAATGACCATAATCCTGACTGCATTGCAATATTCAGTCAGGCTGATCACACATAAATACAGTTTAAAACCACTGCTATAAGGATCATAAAGCTGGGACTTAAGACAGATAAATAAGATTGTTGGCATTGTGCCAAGTGGCATCAGCCAAAACAAATGCATTCTTTGCCTAATCTTCATCTCTTCTTATATCACAATCAGACCACCACAACCTATGTACGATGTTCAGTCTGTATCTTTGTTTTTTGGATTCTCTGTCCTAGATGTTTTCATTCCAGCCTTACCCAGAGCATTCTTCACTCTACAACTTTTCCCTGCTATGCTTCATGTTTAGGTAACTGTCTTAGCAAAGCTTTTTGTGAGCAGTGGGCTTTGAGCAATGCTTCTTCAAGTCCTGTGCTGCCCACATTCTGACACCTTTCAGGCTAGTCCTGAGGCACAAAGAAAGACTGTGTCCAAATATGACACATCTGTGACACTGTGTACAAGTTTACTTGTTAAAGTTTATGTACACCTTCATGTGAATGTCTGATCCACTTTCTTCTCAGATTCCTAATCACCCCACCAGTCCAAAATTCCTTAGAGACAACTTTGCTGGTATATTGCATCAGCTTATTTATAAAATACATAGCTATGACTTGCTATTTTGCTAATGTGGTCCAAACAAGAATGTAGGCCAAACAAATCAGTTTCTTAAGCTTTTTTTCCTTTGCTTTCTAGTTGTAAGACTGAGGAAATTTACCTTTTCTTTTTCTTTCTTTCTTTCTTTCTTTCTTTCTTTCTTTCTTTCTTTCTTTCTTTCTTTCTTTCTTTCTTTCTTTCTTTCTTTCTTTCTTTCTTTCTTTCTTTCTTTCTTTCTTTCTTTCTTTCTTTCTTTCTTTCTTTCTTTCTTTCTTTCTTTCTTTCTTCTTTCTTTCTTCCTTCCTTCCTTCCTTCCTTCCTTCCTTCCTTCCTTCCTTCCTTCCTTCCTTCCTTCCTTCCTTCCTTCCTTCCTTCCTTCCTTCCTTCCTTCCTTCCTTCCTTCTTTCTCTTCTCTTCTCTTCTCTTCTCTTCTCTTCTCTTCTCTTCTCTTCTCTTCTCTTCTCTTCTCTTCTCTTCTCTTCTCTTCTCTTCTCTTCTCTTCTCTTCTCTTCTCTTCTCTTCTCTTCTCTTCTCTTCTCTTCTCTTCTCTTTTCTGGTGAAGCGGAGAACATACGTGCTGCACAGAGCACTTTGCTAGAATTGCCTAAAGGACCTTTTACATGTAAAGATTTGTAGAATATCAGAATATCTTAGAGCAATTTCTTCATAGAAAAATAGGAAGATGGTATTAAAGCTACATATCTGAAATGTGATTATAATACTGCATTTAACATAACTAAATCATTAAAAATTTGATAAGATTATGAGCTCTTATAAAAATTAATAGATTTTTAAAAATTAGTACTTTCTAAAGCAATTGGTTTCATATTATATGTATCTCTTAAAAATAATCATTATTCTGTAGTATATTTTCCTTGTTTATAATGAAATATTGAATTTGCACTATCTATTCAGAGTCTGAAAAAAACTTTCACCGGTAGTAAAAAAGTCTGGTACTGACCAAACTCAGTATAACCAATAAAGATATGGTAATTGGTAGTTACAAGTTTGTATAAATATATAAATAAATATATACCATTTTCAAATACATTTCAGGATACACAGCTCAATTTGAAGTCAGGACCAGGCAGTCAATTTCTTTGAAAAATAAGACACTTTTTATTTGCTGTTCTTTAGGCAGTGAACTCACCATCTCTGCTTCTGGAATAAACAGCTTTTATCAGAAGTAGGTTCAGAAGTAAACACATAACTTGCTAACTGTGTGTTTTACTGTTAGGGAAAACTGTGTTAAAGTATGAGCAGAGATAGCTTCTGAAGAAGAGGAAACAAATTATGTAGCTATTTCCTGAATCTTTTTCATGCTTGTTCAAGATTCTGAAACTCAGGATAATTTGTTTTTCGATACTTGAAATCAGAGTTTCACTACTAAGATGAATATTAACTTAGGCTAACAGCAAGCAAAATTATTAATGTATGTTTTTGTAATGAGTAGATCCAAGTGGCCTTACAAGTACTGAAAAATTGAGGGATTTTTTTGCATGCCTTTAGCATGGTATATCCCAAGAATATAGTTTTAGTATACTTTAATGTTCTGATGTCACACTTGGAAAAATTGTTTCTGTATTGGAAAGCTTGTTTGGAAACAGATTATTTTGTGTTTTGGATGGAAATTCTTCTACCATTAATCTAATTGTGGAATGAAAAACAAATGCTCAAAAAGCATCCAAAAATTAATTAAGCCAAAGTCTATACTGACAATTTGTTGACTTAAAAATTAAATTCCAGCTGGAGATAATGCCCCAAATATGACTTTGAAGACTACTTAACTAAACTCAGAATATTGCTACAATAAGATAGGCAAATATATAATGGAACAAAAGCTTCTCAATGCAGAAGAAATTAATAGCACAGTTTCCACGGTTTGACTTCTGAAAGCGCATTAACTTCTGCATTCAGTCCCTTCTGTAATTGGTTCTGTCCCCTGCATGCTAACAATGCACACAGTCTGTAACTGATCTCAAATGTGATGAGTTTTAATGGTCAGTGTAAGAAAATGAACACAAGTACTCCACTTTCTTGTTTTGCTTGGAATAACAGAGCATGTGCTATGTTCCCTCCAAGTTCTGAAGTCCACCTTCCTTTAATTTTGAAGAGGACTTGTATGTTTTGATATCTGTCATCTATTGATAGATACTCTTTTTTCCAAAAAAGAAAAACAATTGAACCAGCCTTTTTGGGTATTTCTATGTCTCCATCTGTGCCTTTTAGCCCATATTTTAATCCTATGAAAGGCATTTTCACAAGAGAACAGTTTTAACAGACCATACAACAGTTTTTACTTATAAATCTTAGAAAATTAGGAAATACCCTAATCATATCCACTCTGAATTAAGAATCAATATCTGTGTGCTTGTGACAGATTCCTGACTATGATGTTTGATCAAAAGCCATTGTTAAAGGGAGCAAAATCATGGTGCAGGTAGCAGTTTTAGGGGATAATAGGGTAGCTATATATTAATCCATCCAAACTAAATTTGATTTTTTTTCTCCTGAAGTTTGAACTTAGATCAATAATGTTAGTCTATTGCAAGATTCCACACTAAAATGTGACAGAAATGAGGTAAGTTTCATCCAATATTACACAGTATCAGTGAAATGTACCAAATTTATTAAGGAAAAGGCTCTAAGCAAGATGGTGTAACCCAGAATTAGATTTAGATGGGCTATATAGAATGTGCCAAGAATCATCAAGGAGTTAAGGGTTATTCACCTTTATTGTCCATATTTTTTACTGTTTGCCTTGCTTTTGTTTTTTGAAAAATGCATGGTTTTGTTTTGAAGATGCTCATTCTTTGTTGCAGAGCTAGTTATTCTACTGCCAGTGTATTAATCAAAATGCTTGCATGTGCTGTGTGCAGTCATATCTGTGACATAGTGACAGATACAGAATAATTGAATGGTATAACTTCCTTCAGAGGACAGTGAAAGAAAACAGGGGCTTAGCAGTGACAAGATTTACTTGGGGGAAATACATGCTTACAGCACAAGTTGCCCACATTCATCATATTTGTTACAGAAATAAATAAAGTGCCTAAAACATCCTGCTCCTTTCTGTCATTTGTGCTCAACTGGCCTCAGCTGTTAGACTTACTTTAATATATCACAACAACTGTCTTTGTTTCCATGAATCACTGGGGAAAAAAAGGAGAGCAATTCCAGGGGGAGCCTGTTCTGGCCTGAAGGCACTACTCTTACCACCTTAATTCTGTTGGGTTTTTCTGGTTATTATGTCTGATAGTCATATATCCTGAATCAGTATCATTTGGAGCAGGATTGTTCTGGAAAAGGGAGAAGTCAGTCATGATTAGGATGCCAAAATTAAGCTGTTTGTGTTCTAATTATAGGTATGAACCCCAGGAACTGCATGCCACCTGCAAGCCACAAGTGCCTCCACCTCACTCTTGTTTATCTGGTTGTGATAGTATGTATAAGCATTGAGGAGAAACAAGCAAAGTTGCTTTGGAGAGTCCAGTTTGGGCCCTTCCTTACAATAAGGAAAGTTGAAAATCACAGCCCCTTCCTACATGCTTTGGAATTATTTTATTGCTGACTGCATGTCACTGCTTTTAAAAGAAGGGAAAGCACTTATGTGGATATATAAAAACAAGATTGTTTCTGCATTATTATTAATTTTCTTAATTAGCCTTGGACTTCATTATGCAAAAATGCATGGATTTCTTAACTTTTTCAATTATGAGCTTTCTTAAGATTGAACTGTTTTCTAAACTGCACAATCCTCTATTGAAGGTAACTGGATAATGCTCATGCTTGTTCATCAATAACATTGATGCAGTGGTATTTCCCATTTGTTGCAGAATCCTGTACAGTACTAAGCAAACTTTAGAAATGCTGTAAATTCATGTTTGGACAGCTTTCAAAAACTAAGTTGTCCTTGCAGCAGTGAATTGCATGAATTTGAAATAGAGTCTAAGGAAAATGTCTAATGAAATCAGTAAGTTTTTGTCTTACTGTTGATTTTCTTTGTCTGACATTTGTAAGTCATGGGAATAAGGCTTTAATTCAAGGTATTCAAGGCTACTGAGATATTGTTAAAGGATATCTTTTTTAATTAGCCCCCAGTTTTCATGAAACCTCCTTTACCCTCTATAAATTTTGCTATTGCTGAACAGATTAATAATTTGGTACAAGGAGAGAAGTAGTGCAATTATCTTTACCTTTTTTTAAGAAATTAAAAGATAAAAAGTACTTGCATTGAGCCAATACACTGGATGTACCTGCCTTGGAGATCATGAATGGAAATTAGTTTCTTTGTTCTGCTGTTGTTTTTTCTTCTTTATAAAACAAACAGTAGGACGTTATATAGTTACTTCAGATTTGTTAAATTTACATTATTAATCTTCTTCTGCATGTTTTGTTTTGAATAGTAGTTTTTCTAGTCACTCAGGAGGTACTATCCTTCTTGCCTTGTCCTGGTAGTGCTTTTTAACATTACTACAGCTTTTCAGACACTGAAAACAAATATGTTGTCTAGAAGGCTACTTAAAGTCCATGCAGAAGTCCACCTGATGTGACGGTATTTTCAGAAAAAGTCCACGAGACCAACAAAATCAAGGTACTGCTCTCAAAATTCAAGTTGTAATCACCCCTGCACAATTTCTGTCTGTAACAATATAGTAGGTAAGACTTCAGCTGAGGGAGGAACAGATCAAGGTTTTGTTCTTCAGGAATTTCAGATTAGCAGACTCCACTTCTGCAGACTGCATCCTAGCAACACTCTGGATAATGGTGCTTACTGTTGAAGAGGTACTACTGTTTAAACACTTAAGACTGAACCAAAAAGAAAACTGTCCAAGTTTTGGCTGGGGAAGATTTTAATTTTTAATTTGGCTAAGGTAGATTTTAATTTTTTTTGGTGGCTAGTATTGATCTGTGTTTTGGATTTGTGCTGAACACATGGTTAATAATAAAGAGATGTTTTTGTTATTGCTGAACAGGTAAGAGCCAAGGCCCTTTCTGCTTTTGGTACTGCCACACTGGTGAGGGGACCGGGGGTGCTTGTGAGGAGATACAGCCAGGACAGATGACCCAAAATGACTAAAGGGATATCATGCTGGTATATGAAGTGGGGGAAAATGGAAGAAGGAGAAAGGAGGGTACATTTGGAGCCATGGCATTTGTCTTCCCAAGATGGCTGAATACCTGTCTGCCCACAGGAAGCACTGAATCAATTCCTGGTTTTCTTTGCTTTTGTGTGCAGCTTTTGCTTTCCTTATTAAACTGCCATGACTTTTCTCACTTTTCTAAGTCTTTCCCCAGTCGTATTAATTCAGGAATTAGTGAGTGGCTGCATGGGGCTTGGGTAGCTGGCTAGGGTTAAACACAACTTTGCTCACTATTTTAGCCCTCCACAGCCTTGTTCTAGATCCAGATCAGTGCAAAACACCCAAGTCCTCCTTGAAAAGGAGACTGGAGTCTTTAACTTCTCTGCCAGCACATGTGAATCCTACACCTTTATACACTAGTCTGTAGATGTATATCTTCTCTGTGCTCTCCTTCAGGATTGAGTTTTGAGGGTTTTTTATAAGCCAACAATACTCAAGGGATTGAAAGCATAGCCTTCACATGAAAGGATCTACAGACAACAGCTTCAAGGGATTTTAAGAGAGATGAACTTTTTCTGGTTCTTCACAGTATGACTTCTTATAAAAGGTGACAGCAACTGCTTCTTGTCCTGTCATACTGGGGAAAAAAACAAAAAACCAACAAAGCCAACAAACAAATCCAGAAGTAAGGTTTACTTTCACAGAGCGCATAGTTCTGTGTGGAGTCCGAAGACCACCACTCTTGTCAGCAAGAGCCTGCTGGGCCCCATTCGGGAGACACACAGATGTGGAGCTCCAAATCTCTAGGATGCCCACACTGGAGCCAGGGTATCTCTGACACTTGGATGCCTATGGCTGCCACTGAACTCAGGCGTCCAGTCCAATAAACCTGAGAGGAACTCAGGCTTTGCAATCCCCCTTCAAGTATCCACAGCTTAAGTACTTCCTTGAAAGGGCATTTCTTTTACTTCATTTGTTTCTGTCTTTTTATGTCAAGACAACATTTTTAGGACACAAACATAGTTATGGAGATTCTAGACCTACAATAGAAAAAAAAAAGTCGAAATTAAGTTTTTCATGTTTTCAAAACAACACAAAAGGGCATCGGCACTGCTATCTGGCCACAAACAGGCCCAGAGCCGGCGTGTCTCCGGGTAGGTGTGGGCCGGGAGCCCGAGGAGGGAGGCCGAAGGTGAGGCACGGCGGCGTGAAGAGCCGGGAAGCTAGCAAGGGCAGAAAGAGGGCAAAGCGCTGCCCGAGGGCTCCTCGACGGCTGTCGCAGGAACAAGGACCGCCCGGCAGGAGACGACAGCCGCGGCACCGGGGAAGGGGAGGGGGCTCGGGGCCGGGGCCGGGGCCAGGGCGGTGACTCAGCGCCGCTCGCAGCGCATAAAAGGCGGGCGGCGGGCAGCGGCGGGGCTGGGCTGGCCGCGCGGTCGCGGGTGGTGTGGTTGCCGTCGGGTCTGCTGGGAACGCGCCCGCGGGACGAGGACGGCGCGATGAGGATGGCCAAGCTGCGAGTGCTGTACGCTGCCGTGGCACTGCTGTGCGCGGCACCGCCGGGGCACCCCGGTGCCGTGCTGCCCGCGGGCGAGGGGGACGGGTACGGGGTGAAGCTGTGCGGCCGCGAGTTCATCCGCGCCGTCATCTTCACCTGCGGCGGGTCCCGCTGGAAGCGGCTCTCCCTGCTGGCGGTGGAGCCGGCGCCCGCGGCCGGTGAGTGTCCCAGGAGCGAGCAGAGGGGCAGGCGGCTGTCGGGGCGCTTCGCTCGCCGCCGAGCGACGGGCTGCGAGGAGGGATGCAGAGAACGGGAGGGATGGGGAAGGGCGAGCGCCCCGCGGCGCCTCTGGCTCCTCCCGCCCTGAGCCGCTGAGGGAAGGTCCCCGTCTCTTTCTCGCTTTCCCTCTAGATCCTAGTTGGCATTCCGAGACTTTTGGAAGGACGCCCTGAGATTCAGAGGGAAGGGGGCGGCAGGTCCTGGGGCATTATTTGCGGGGATAATACGCAAAGTTTTTGGTCAGTTCGGAGATACCGCGCGGCTGCGCAGGGCTGCTGGCCGCAGAGGAGCTTCTGCTACAAAATCCCGCAAAATCCCACTTCTCCCCTCTCTTGACCGTGTAGGGTGGTCTGATGCGCCCTGGGGAGCGGTGGGAATGCCTGTCGCTATGGCTTCTCCCTCTTCCCAAGGCTCCGTAATTCCTGGGGCGGCGGAACGAAGTGGGGCTCCCGGCGGGGTTTCCCTCCGGACGGGAGCCCCGGCGCCGCGCTGCCCCTCAGGGCTCCCGGGATGTGTGGGAGCGCACGGACGTGGCATCGCGCCGATGTTATCACTCCCCGGTGCTTTCCTGCATCAAAGAGTTGGCACGCTGGGGAGAGTGGACTCTGGTGCTCCGGGTTACAGTCTTTGGGCTGTGCTCCCAAGCTGCGGTAAATGTAACAGTAATTTTAAGTTATTACTCTGATTTATGTTGGTATTTTGAATACGTTTTTTAAAAGGACAGAAGATGTAATTATGACTAAAACGTGCAGTGGAAGAGATTATTTTCTTCTGATTAAACACACTTTAGTGAAATAACCTAAGACTTCAGGCAGCTAATGAAGCCAGTATTCTGGGAATTTTTGCCACTTTTTTTCTCCCCCAACAGGTTGAGTAAAAGATAAAAGTAACCTTTGTAATTATAACAAATTACTTACATACAGCCTCTGTGGGGATTATGTCCTTTCCCAGCAAATTTTGCTTTCCTTTTTGTTAACAGTAGCTTCTGAGAACAGCAGTCACTAAGGAGCCTCCACTATGCTGCATGAAGTCTAACTAGAAGACTTCACCCCAAAAGACTATTAAAGGGCAGTCACTGTCTAATTACTAAAGGAGCTACAGCTTTTATTTTTGCACATACTCAGGCTGCTGTTCTATCTGAAACTTAGGTTCTATATACTAATTAGGCATATTTAAGTAAATACAAAAGTTGCTGGATAGTCTCATGCTCTTTCAGCTTTCTGAAACAAAAAAAAAACTATTAACAGCATTAAGATCACAAGACAAAGACTTGTTTTGGATTCTTTTAAAATTAGGAATTGAAGAAGCTGTTTTTCTTCACATTAGTTGAAGTAAGCAATGCTACTTGCATTGCAGAAGTAAAATCAAGAGCAACAGTGTAAGGTGAAAGGAAGTAGGGCTGTATTTTTGAGAACACTTTAGTCAGTGAGATGAAGAATGTCATAAGTAAATTCTGCAAGCCCCTGATATGCCTTGAGAAATGAAAGAAATGAGAGGAAAGCATCAGTTTAAAATAGCTATAGAAAAATGCCATCTAGGACTCAGTTTACATACAATCTTTGCTTATTTAGTCCTTCCTACATTTCTTCTTCACATGATGCTACTTAGTGTGATTGTGCACAGGAGAGGAGGGGTCTGATCTAATGCATCCAACACAAGACACAGCTCTGTGGTGTTTCTGGATACATGCCTTTACAACAAAATTCTATTTCTGTGGAAAAATTGAGACTTCTCCTTCAATAAAACTGCAGTTGTTGACAGGATGCCTTTACTTCAGTTACAGTTGTTTCTGTGCATTCTGCATGTCTAACAAGAGGTACAGACTTTAAAATACAGATTCTGCTAAAAGTAAGCTACAAGTAAATCATGGTGTGGAGACTCTCAAGTACTGACAGTTCTCCCACATAACAGTGTTCCATTTAAAACTGAATGGGTTTTGTTGCTGTTTGTTAGAGCTGTGTAATCCTTTTGATGCTCCTACTGTCTGAATTTAAGATAAGTCTTCTCTTTAAAACAGATTCTGCGCAAACAGCAAGTAACAAACTACTGGGAAGCTTCAACCTGCAATCAGTTCAGGATCCTGAAGTGGAGCAGCTGCAGAGAAGAAGCCCATTTCTTGGATGGGAGACGTTTAAGGACTTGTATAGTTTAAATTACTATAATGAATATGTACCTGTGGCAGGTGACTTTAAAAAGCTTGTTCGCCAGGTAGAGGAAGCTGTTCAGAAGGACAGGGGAGGAACAGGAAATGCAAATCCTGTGGAATCAAGCAGCTACCTTTGGGCCAGGTATCCCAGAAGAAAACGGGAGTCTCTGGGTTTGGCAGGAATGTGTTGCAAATGGGGCTGTACAAAAGCTGAAATTAGTACTATATGCAGAGTTTAAAATCCTCTCTACACTTTTGCATGAAATCAGTGTATGTTGCAGTACTACTTGATTGATTACTTCATGGAGGAAGAAAACTCTTGCTGTATTTTATCTTGTCTATATGTGCTAATCAATATAGCTGGTTTTCTTTAAAAAAAAACCAAAACCAACAAAACAAAATAAAAATGTAATTGCAATGAGTTTGTTTTGCTGTAGTAACTTCTAATCTATATTTTTACTAAGTCTTTTCATTTTAATGTTGAGCCTTTACACTTATATTACGAATGTATTATATCTTTGTAACTCTTAAAGAAAAACTTCAATATTTCAATAAAATATAATTATACTAAGTGTTGCCAAATTATTGTTCCTCTGTCAAAATAATGAATATAGAATCATAGAATGGCTTTTGTTGGAAGGGACCCTAAAGATCACCTAGTTCCATCCCCCCTGACATAGGCAGAGACACCTTCCCCTGGATGAAGTTGTTCAGAGTCCCATCCAGTTTTGGCCTTTAATACTGCTAGGGATGGGGCATCCACAGAAGGCCAAAGCTTCTCTGGGTGATCTGTTCCAGAGTCTCACCTCATGGGGAACAATTTCTTCCTCAATATCTAACGTAAATTCTCCCTCTTTTAGTTTGAACCCCTTATTTCTACTGCTACTAACTTTCTAATGAAGAGTTCTACCAGCTTCCTTGTAACATCCAACAATAGTAAAATGGGATTCATGGTACAAAGCTGTAGAGGAAGAGTATTTTGCCACTTGAAATCCCACTTGACACTGACTCAGCTTGCTGATTATTTTGACCTCATGTTTTCCATTTCCTTGTAATTGCAGAATTGTTTTTATGCAGTGTTACCTTTATAGAGACTTTACTGCGACACAACACTTGCAGCCTGCATTTTTTTATATTGATGTCTAGGCTTAAATAGTTAAGAGTATTAACACTTCATTCATTCCTTGTTTACTTTACTTCCCCATTTTTCCCTACTGTGGCTGAGAGTGCTGGATGTGCATCAAGTAACTTGCTGTACAGACACTTAGACATCTTTCTGTGCATTCTTAAAGTATGCTGGTCTACACTAATTCAGATGTACTTCTAAGTTGCTAATTGGTACTGTATTTATGAATAGCTGATTTATTCCTTGTAGTTTCTAATCCTTTTGCCTTCCTGCATGTTTTTCTCAGCTGTAAAAAAGTTATATTTCTAGCAATATGGTTCCTGAGGTGAGGGTTTTGGTTTTCCTGACCTCTGTGTGATGCTCAAGGTAACTTTGTACCAGCAGTTGACTCAGAGTATACTTCAGGGCTTAGGCTGTGTGGTTGATGCCTTTGGCTTTGTTCTTCAAAATATCTTATGACAAGTATTCATTGATTAGACTACTGCTCTCTGCAATTATTGCATATTTTTTTAAATTCCTTTTCTTAAGATATTATAGTTACTGCAGGAATTAGGCATCTATCAATCCTTTTTATTTTTTAAGACATGAGTTTAATTCAGTAGAGATTGGGCAGAATGGACATTCAGTATGAATGCTGTTATCTTCCACGTGAAAAGAACCATCTCTTCTGTCCTGGTAGCAATATTTATGAAGAAATGAGTTGTCTTCTTAAATGTCTTAGTTGTAGTGACTCTAAGATGCTTTTTGCCACTCTGAGTGGAAACAGCAACTGTGTGACATTCTGCTATAGTTTGGTGTGGGTTTGTTTTTGCAACAGATTAGCTAAATGTCTATAGCCTGGCTTCCAGAAACTTCTCTTCACACATAGTTTTGGGGTTGGGTTTTGATTAGGATTTCTTAGAAGATTACAGGAGGAATTTGAGGGGAAGTATTCCTTATTTCTGAGCAGTTTCAAGCATTTTTGGAGTTAAGATTACTTAGTACTAAGGTGAGGAATAAGAGGTAGATAGAATCCCTACGAAAAGCCAAAATATGAAAATTCCATGTGAGAAGAAAGTGAAAATTATCCTATATGCATTTGTCTTGCTAGAAAACTGTCTCCCAAGCTTACTCCCAAAAGGAATATTGGAGAAGGTGAATGGTTATATCCAGTAAATGGTTATAGCCGACTTGAGTGAAATAAAGATGTAGTTAAAACTTTAAATTTGTGAGTTTAAGCCTTGAATGGAACAATCTGGAGTTTAACTTGCTGGGTTAGATGTAAGCCATTGGTAAAACTATAAATAGTATAAGTGAAAATAGTGTTTGAGTGGAAGTGCTTCAGGCTGAGATGGGATTATAAATAGAAAAATCAGTCTTTATCTGATATAAACAGGCTTTTCTCAGAGGCATGAGTCAACCCAGAGAATAGGTGTAATTTGTGTTTTCATTTGGTTTCTGTAATAGGCCTTGTCATAGTCTGTAACAACTTTAACAGGCAGGCTATGGCAAAGGCAGATAGCACAGACAAAAATTAAGTCTGTGTTTTAGAGTAAGAAAATATTTGTGCACAAATTACAGTGTGCAAAGGGTCCCTTTCCCTTCCTTCTCCCTCATCTTAGTTAATTATATACTAATATTTATTCATTGTATGATATTGTTCATTACATACTAGCAGATAACTAGCATTTATATATCTATACATACACTATAATTAGTTTATTACATAGGAATACGGACAAGGACAAGGAAGAGGACAGGAAACAAAAAATGGCTTGATGTCTTAAATCATATTCAAAATCGTGTTTTAATTGGCATGCTAGAGACTTGATTGGATAGTGGACACAGGCATGTATGACCCCTTCAGGAAAGATCTTTAACACTAAAAGGGTATTTCCAGGATGTTTATTCTTAGACCAGAAGGACTTTTGGAAACTGGAGTGACTAAACATTTCTCAGTAAAAAGGATATTGCTGTTATGTAGGGGACTATAGTAGGCTGTAAATAAAATTGTTAATGGCGATGAGTCTTTCTCTGTGTGATCAAAGAACTTAACAGAAAAAGAAAAACTTCATACTACTGGGAAATTTAAATTACCATTTTGATGAGAAAGTGATACAAAAGGACACAAACTACATAGAAAATTCAGGAAAGGTGTTGAAGCACTCTGCAGAAGATGGAGAAAACAGCTGGAAGAAAGTGTGCTACTTAAGAAAAGATCTAGCTGAGAATGTGGACATAGTGGGCACCATAAGAAAAAAATTTACCAACATAGAGTAGCTACAAGGATTAAAAGTATTTCCCTGATTTTAATTCACCACACTATTGGTCACTTACCAAGGATCTGTTTTGGATTAATGATCTGCCTCAGGCATGGCAGGATGTGTCAGGTAAGGAATCTGAAATCCCAAGAAGTGTCCCTACTCATCTGTTGCACAGTCCAGCTGCAGTTCAGGCAGAGCTCCAGCTGGGTCCATCCTAATGGTGGTACCTATTGAGTGAGGTAGTTGGCTGCTGGTGAACAGTAGAGGCTAGATAGATGTCTTAATTTTAGCTATGGTGTCCTGTTCCCTGCGTTGGATCACATGCATTCTTAGGTTTGGAACACCATTTGAAATCAAACCACTTTTATGCCCTTTTATGAGAGCCAGGGCTTGTTAAGCTAGGTGTTTGCCTCCCCCAGGCTTAGACTCCAAAGTTGTTAATAGTTATCTGTGGGAATTCAAAAAGGATTAGAGGTTTCTAGTGGTAGGAAAAAAAATATGATTGGATAGAAAACTACAGATCAGAATTTAGTCTAATTCTAATTCAAAGCGCAAGAGGAAATGTAGCAAACAATCAAGTGAACAATATGAGTACTTATAAGATGATGAAGAGCCATCAACATGGATTAAAAAAAATAAATCAAATATTGTGATTAGATGTTGTATTTCTTGCTATCAAAACTTATAGTATTCATAATTAAACCAGGGTAAGACAGAACAAACTTAATTACTAGAAAATATTCATTCTGTCAGATCCTCTTTGAATCATGTTTCTGCTATGTAACAAAGGTGTGTTTTCAAGGCAGAGAGACAGACCATCTGAATTCACAGCATCTTCCCTTTAGTATAGTATTATTTGACATTTCCATTAATTGCTTACATGGAATGAGACAGTGAAGTCGCAGAAACTGGCAAACAGATGCAGAGGAATTTACAAATGGTATTGAGAAGGAAAGGACTGGAATTACATTGGAAGTCTTCAATCTGGTCTTCAAAAATTAGGGAAATTGCTTCCTATGTTTAGGAACAATCAAAATCTTTTGCTATCAAAACATTCTTTTAAACAGCAATGTCTTTGGCTGGCTTTGCTGGCACACAAATGAATAGAGTGAAAGGACCCTTATGGTAGGTCCTTTTTTTTTTTGAAGACTGAAGTCAAGCTTAAGTTCAACCTTAAACGTTACTTGGGATCTTCTTAGAGGTACTTTCAGAGGTAAGAATCTGCTTGTTTGTAAGTGCCACACTTCCCATGTGAAAGCTGCTGTATGCAGACTAGATGTTAAGGTTGATTTACCTTTTTCATTTATAGATCAGTATCTTTGAGAAGCCAGTCCTAAAAGTGACCTGATAGTTAGAAAAGTCCATTGATCTGACCAGCTGTAGCTCAGGAAACACATCCAACATCCACATTTAATAGATGCCTTTTTCAACTGCTCTTGATGTAATTGTTTAGCTTTTTGTTGTTTTATTGTTCTTGTTAGTTAAATTCAATAACAGACTTATTATTGCTAAGAGAAGTTCTTGTTGGGGAGAAATTACGGCAATTTTAAATGTATTGCAATACCCTTAAGCTAGATACTCAGATAAATTTAACTATTTTAAATAATTGATTTGTTAATATTAAATTTCTTAATGAAGTCTTCTAAAAGTTATGTGAAATTTGTTCTATATAATGTAAAGACCAAAGCTAAAATGACTTGTCTAGGTTCAGTAGGAGAGTAGACAAGATTATAGTGTCAAAGTGAAATCACTTATACAATTACATTTGTTGGACACTTATTCTTTTTTAAGAAGACAGTAATATGATTCAGCTGTATTACAGAGATGAAACAAAATGATAATTTTCTTTCCCCATGCAACATTCAACCAGATATCACCCAGATAAAATTGATTGTATATATTTAAAATATTTGTACTTATCACATCCTTTGAACTTAAACAGAAATTTTTTGCTACCCTTGTTTAGGTAGTCTGATTTATGGCAGTTCTGATACAACTCTCCAATAGTAAGTTTTTTTCTCCTGACATGCTTAATCTAGCTTTTGGTTCTCTTCACATTTCCATTTCTTCTGAAAGTCTTTTCCAGGGTGGCAGGTACCTTTATTGAAGTCGTCTGACAAAACTGCAATCTTATTATTGTCCCTTATTACAATAAAACAAATTGAGATGTGTGTAATCAGACTTATCTCCACAGGTACAGTA